GGGGAAGTCACCTAGGGACGGGGAAGTCACCTAGGGATGGGGAAGCCACCTAGGGATGGGGAAGCCACGTTGGGATGGAGAAGTCACCTAGGGATGGGGAAGCCACGTTGGGATGGAGAAGTCACCTAGGGATGGGGAAGCCACCTAGGGACGGGGAAGCCACCTGATGGATGAGAAGTGACAGGCCCTAGGTCCTCCTGCTCTTGGGATGAGACTGGTTGATGAAGCCAGATCTCTCCTTATGAAGGGTGAAAGAAGCCCACGCTGCCAACACCGTGGCCAAGTGGCTAATGAGTATCCTCGTGGGGTGCCCGGAGTGCCCTTGTGTCTTCCTGGTGGTGCACAGTGATCACACAGAAGAGTGGTTCCATCACAGAGTGCTCACCCGCCACAGCGTTGGTGATTGGTGTAACTCACTGGTCCCTCCCCTGGCCTCTCTCTCCCCCTCCCCTGTCCCCTTCCTCTGTACTAATGGTCTCCTTTCTACATTCATGAATACCCACCATTTTCCAGGAGTGTTCTTTAGTGAAGAAAATTGGCCAGGAACTCAAGAACAAGCAGATAAGGACACGTGTGTCCCTTGTTTGGGAGGTGACTGGCGAGGGTTAGTAAAATCCAGGTCTCACCTAATCGGCTGCATTGCTACCCCCTGATGCTCCCCACTGCTCCATGCCTACCTCCACCAACTTCCCAGTGTCACCCCACACTGCCACCACTGCCACCACCCTCCTAACACCACCACCACTGGACTGCCATCATCTCCACAACCACTGCTCCCAGCTCCCCAAGTGTCACCCATGCTGGGCCATCACTGTTACCACCTGTGCAGTGTGGCCACCGTCGGCTCCTCAGTAGCCTGCGCCTGCCCATCTCCACCCTTCTAACCGACCACCAACCCCATCCCCATCCCAGTCCCCTCGCCACTCCTCCACAGTGCTGTGAGCCACACCCACAGTCTTCACACTCTGCATCTCCCATTGTCCTCAAGTCTGGTGGTCCTGGACGTCCTTGACTGCCCCCCACGTGGYGATGGTGACTCTGTGACTTCTGAGGCTGGTCACAGGAAGCCTTCCAGCTATTGCCTGGAGCTGCTCCCTCCTAGAGCTGAGCTGCTGAGCTGCAGAAAGGGACCATGTAGGCTCTCTGGTCCACAGCCCTGCTGGGCTACCCTGATGGCCAGCACCACTCCAGGCACTTGAGGGAACAGTCTCAGATGTCCAGCCCTGTCCAGCCTTCTAATAACTGGAGCCCTAGCTGCCATCTGCCTCCAACAGATCCCCCCAGTCCACCCCCGATGCACAAGGGGGACCATCGGCTGCTTTAAGCCCGTGGGCAGGTTGTCATGAAGCAGCAGGTGGCAGAAGTGACCACTAGTTACACTGCCAGCTCCCTCTTGCCACTGACCACCCTGTTGTCCATCCCTCCCTCCTACACTGCTGCCACCAATGCCCAGGACCTCCTGGGAGCTGACCTGGGGCCAAGTGATCTGCCAGCAGTCTAGGTGAGAGGCACAAGAGCCTGAGAAGTGGACGGGTCTGCACAGATGGCAGCAGGGAGGTCAGCTGCCCTGTCAGGGTCGCCCGGCTGCTAAGTGTCAGCTGGGATTCTGAGCAGGGCTCCTGGGAGCCTGGACRCCTGACTCTTCCCACCACCACCACACTGCCTCCCGGGGCTGCGTGGATGGTCAGTGGTTCTGAGGTGGCATCCTGGCCCCACACACCTGCCCGCCAGCCCCGCAGCCCACCTGGGAGCTACATGTGAAAGGGGCTCAGGATACTTGCCATATCTGGAGGCATAGTCTGGTCTGGGAACCAAGATAATTTTTTGGTAGGCTCTGCAGAAAGACTGAAGTTCAGCATCGAATGGACGCTGTGTGGTCCCCACGATCAGGATCCTGTCGTCCGGTTTCAGGAGCTTCAGGATTTTGGGTAGTTGTTTTTTCAGGCGTTTAGGATCATTCTGGGAGTAAGAGAGGGGAGAAAAATCACTCCACGTGTGGAACAAAGAATTAAAACTACAAAGGACATCCTCTTGGAATGGAGCAGAGGGTTGCGCTTATCAAGGTGATTTCACGGCTCTGCGCCTCTGCCCGGCGCCTGGGAGCCACTTCCCAGTCCGGGTGAGGTTTGATTGTTGGCAGTTCCTTCCCCTCTGACATTCAGATTTGGAAAGTGGGAGGGAAGGAAGGACTGGCGCCCTGGACCCAGGCAGTGGAAGACTCGCAGACTCGGCTGACGTCCACGGGAAGGAGCGCCTGGGACGCGGGCGAGTGCCATTCTCCTGCTTCCCCCTGAGCTGTTTGGAGGAAGAATTCAAGGTTCCTTTGCTGAGGGTGACACAGTGGGGACCCTGGTCACAAAGGTTCTGAGACCAGGGTGTCTCAGCACTTGCTAATGAAGGAGGGGCACAGGCTCAGGCACTCATTCTGCGCCCGGGGATGGGGGCTGCTGTGGCCAGGTCGCCACGGGCAGTACCTGGCTTTAGGTGAAGCTGACCAGCACGGGCAAGTGAGGAGAGAGCCTGAGAAGAGGGCCGGGTGATGGAGAGCCTCTGCAGAGACCCCCAGCGCAGCCTTGGCCACCCCGCTCCCACTGGCTGATGGCTCAAGAGGCTCTGCACCTGTTCAGGAGCACATTGGCATCTGAATGTCCTCTTTGGAAAATGTGCATCTAGATCCTGGGCCCACTTGGCCATGGGGGTTCCTGCTTTAGGTTCCTGAGACTGAGCTGTAAGGGTTCTTTTCATGATCTGAATACAAGCCCCTCATCAGCCAGTACCCTCTGCGAGTTGWCTTGTCATTTCTTTTACTTTCTTGTTTTTAGCTCAGCACTTGGGAAGAGTTCTGTGGAACTGCTGTCCATCTTGGGGGCCATCCATGGGCCCTCTGGGCTAGAGGGACGGCAAGGGAAGAGATGCAGAAATAGGGATTCAGTGAAGAGGCTGGACAACGGTCTCTTGCATACAGATGGTGCTCAACCAGTGTTTGCTGAGCAATTGATTCTCCCCAAGCCCCTTGTCTTCACCCTTTCCTCTGTGACCCCTAATAACCCACCCTTCTGGGCAACCCCCTTTGCACCCACTCCTCACCTCCTGCCCCTGCAGCCCCCACACTGCCCCGCCACCTCCTCCCGAGGCCCTCAACTCAGGGCTGTTCTGTGCAGCACTTTGGATGACCGTTTGGGGCTCATGGAGGGCTATTTGCAGAACAGGGCAGGGTTGAAACCCAAGTATAAGGTCCGTTGCTGCCCGGGCCCCACACAGGGCCTTGGCCTGGGCTCTCCTCCACTGCCCCTCACAGTGGTGATGCTCCTGGGCCTGGGGCCTAGGCCTGCATTGCTGGCTCTGTGTCCAGTGTTGAGCCCCGGGAAGTCTCGGTCCCTCGGTGTGGAGAGTCGGGATGACGACAGTGCTTCTGCTCAGAGGGGTTCCATGCAGTCCTGGCCTGTGGCGTGGACTCTCCCAGCGCGGTGCCCAGTCTTCCAGCTTCTCTCCTGCAAAAGGCTCCCAGGGTCCTTTTTCTGTGCTGGGGATTGAACCCAGGGCCTCCCCTGCTGGGCGAGGGCTCTTCCACTGAGCTGCAGGCCCAGCCCAGTCTGCGTAACGTGGATGGAGCTGCAGCCGCGGGCCAGAAGCTGGCTCTACAGTGGTGATGGAACCAGACCCGCCTGACGATTCGGCAGAGGCAAAAGGCAGGTTCACAGATGAACAGTTAAGTCAAGTCAGGGGAAAGGTGCTCTGGAGCTGGAGAGAGGTCCTGAGGGAGTGGAGGCAAGCAGAAGGGACACTATTCTAAGGTGACGTTTGAGCAGACTGGGGCAGGAGAAGGCTGTGTGGATTGGGGAAGAGTTTCAGGTAGAGAGGAGAGTGCGTGTAAAGGTCCTGAGGTAGAAATGTGCTGGAAGCTCTAGAAAGCCCCCAGAGGCCAAGGCAGAGAGAGGCAGGGGAGGAGGGCAGAGACGGAAGAGAGGCCAGGTCCCTGGGGCTTTGCAGGCCACACGACAACTTTGCTTTTACTCTGGAATGAGGCAGAAGTCGGTGACAGAAAAAGGAGGAATTAAGGGAGGAATCTAGGTCTCTGCCTTTGACTTCAGATCACAGAGTTTAAGGGAGAAGCCACTGCAAATGCAGGCTCCACCTCTAACCCTGGCCAGGGCCAGGAGGGCACTTCCTGAAGGGCGCCTGTCAATCTGCACTGGCCCCGCCTCCCACTGTCTGAGCTGGGCCTTTCAGAGTTGGCCCACTGGCTGCTGGCCTCCTCAGTGCTGTCCTCTGCAGCGAAACCACCTTGGATTCCAGGAGACACCGTCTAGAGTTCCCTCTGTGCTTGTGTCCTTGGCGTCACACCTAAGAAACCACGGCCAGAACACTGCCTGTTGCGGAGCTCTGGGTCTGCGTTTCCTCCCAAGAGCTGTCTCGGTTTAGCTCTTACCTGTGGGAGTGCGAGACGCTGAGCTGATTTTTGTATGCGGCAGGGGTTGGAGGCGGCTGCATCCCTGGGTAGGTGGCTGCGGTTATGCTGTAGCAYTTGCTGAAAGGTTATTTCTGCCTTGAGTGGCTTAGCACTTTGCCAAGTGGCTGTAAGGTAAGCCGTCGTTTCCGACCCTCACGTCTGTTCTGTCCATCTGCACGTGTCTCCTGGGCCCGCACCYGCCGTCCTGAGTGTCCCCATGCTGAAGTCGGTTGGGGAATGAAGTCGGGAGGTGTCAGGACTCTCCCTTGGACGACTTTCTTCTGGAGAGGGTTTGGGCAGGTCCTTTGAACTTCCATGTGCATTTGAGGACCTGCTTATCAGTTTCCGAAGATAAAATAAACCAGCCAGGATTTTTATGGGGTGGCACTGAGCCCACAGATCTGGAGATGACTGAGGTCTTAGCCACCCACGAATGTGAAGGTCCTTCCACGTGTGTAGATCTCCGTTAAAACTGCTCAACGCGATGTCAGAGAAGTCTGGCCCTTCTTTTGCATCGAGGGGAACTTTCTGAGATCCATTTCTTGGAGTGGAGAGGGCAGCRGATGATGGTGGGCAGCGGATGATGGTGGGCAGCGGATGATGGTGGGCAGCGGATGATGGTGGGCAGCGGATGATGGTGGRCTGGGRAGTGAGTGGATGTGACAGCAGCTCGGCCAGTAGGAAACGTGCCACTGTGGAGTGCACCTGAAGGGACACCTGAGGGGCACACGAGCTGCCAGAGTCGGTGGGGGAAGGACTGACCTGAGGGTCCCAGGCTGGAGCAGGCTCTATGGGGGCAGAGATACCTGYGGTCTGAGCCCATCCCCAGCAGCCCGGTTGCCATGGTGACGGTGGTGTGCTCTCCACCGGAGATGAGGCTACCTGAAATGGCAGGGCTGCCTAAAGTTAATTAGCCTATTTGGATGACAAATGTTGATCTTGGGCTGTGTCCAGCCGACGTCCTTCTCTTGGTGAGGTGCRGGGGAGGGGAATGGTGGTGCCTCCATTCCATCGGTAGCCCCCACACTCCGCGGCCTTTGTCCAGCCCAGAGCTGTCCATCTGCCTGAGACCTGCACGCTCATCCATCACGCTGGGAAACGTCCCCACGATCACCTGGCAACCTCCACGCGCTGCCCCCGCTGCGGGGCCTGCCAGCCCTCACAACTGTCCTACTGTGGGCAACTCCAAATCCGCGGCTTTCCATTTGCTTTCCTGCAGTTAGCGCCACAAAACCCCGCGGCAGCTGGCCCCAGTGAAGCCAGCAACGTCCTGGGGAGGGCCCTGCAGTGATGCCAGGGAGGGCAGTGCCAGGGGGGCTCCATGCAGCAACGAAGGGCCACGGTGCTGGAAGCGCAGGAGCCGCTGTTCTGCCTTCTGCCCTGGAGGAGAGGGTGGCGCTCCTCCCCGGGCACCGGAGGGGGCACGAGCAGGCATGTGCCCGGGGCAGTGGCATGGGCTCATCGGGGTTGGGTTGGACTTTTCTGAAACCCTGGAGGTGTCAGAGCTTCTCGGGGGCGAAGGGACCATGAGGGGCCCGGGGGAGGGGCGGGAGGACGGAGGGTTCCGGAGTCATGCACCTCGGAGGGAGTCAAAGGCAGGAAGACCTCAAAGGCAGTTCTCAGGAGAGGAGTGGAATGAGCCCGAGGTTGATGACGTGCTGGGGGACAGGCTGGGGCTGGGGACAGCTGGCCCTGTGGCAGACAGGGAGCTTTCGGTGGCTTTCAGGGTCYTCCAGCCTGTAAGTGGTGTCCAGGTGGGTCAGGATGTGGCCTCTGCACACCGGCACTGCCCACAGCTAGCGGGCAGCCTCTTCTGCAAAACAGAACCAGGCGATTGTTCTCCCAGGGACCTGGGAGTCGACCTGATGTGTATTRTGCCTGGGGAAGAAAACATGCTCAATCAATGTCCGTCCTGCCACCAGGCTCCTCTACTTCCTGCTTAAAGCAGTGCTGGACGGCACCCAGGGCTCGGCTCCAGGTGGGTGGCAGGTTCTGAGCTCCAGGCCCCGGGCTGGTGGGCCTCCTCCAGGTCTTCCTTGCTTGGTTCTGGGTGAGCTCCAGGCACTGGGCCCTGGGAGGGGCCTTGGCTCCGAGGCAGAGGCCTTGCAGGGTGGATCCAGTCACGGCAGAGGAGGCTTTTCCTCCCAGAGACTTTGGCAGTCGTCACGGGGCCTTGCTCTGTCTCCTGGCTGTGGACGGTGGCACGCCAGGCCCTGGTTTTCTTGGCAGATGGACCTTCTTCTCTGGCCTCCATGGGGATGAGGGCAGCCTCTGGCGCAGTGGCGGGGCAGGTGGAAGGAGATGCTGGCTTCCCGGGCGGCTGAGAGACACAGCGGGGAGGTGGGCAGGACGTCCTGGCTCCTCTGCCTGCTGATGTGCTGGCCGCCTGGCTTGGTCCTCACCTGCAGACTGTGGGCRGCCCAGGGCCTGGTGGCTGAGCGGCTCAGGGAAGACTCAGGAGTCCCCAAGGCTGAGAGGCAGTCCCTGGGGTGCGGGGCTGGTGGAGGCCCGTATTCCCGAGGGGAGAGGGGCACACAGGAGTCTCCCCACCTCCACCTCTTGCCCGGGTGGTGCTGGGCGGCTGTGGTCGGTGCACCTGCCTCTGCAGCCATCTGACCTCCAGCAGGCTCAGGCCGGAGGCTTTCAGCTGGTGTCCCCCAGGTGGCTTGGGACTCGCCCCAGGGCAGGACTGGTGGTCTTTGAGGCARCCAGTTCCACTGAGGGTCCACGCCTCCTCCAGTGCAGAAGCGAGCAGAGTAAAGACCAYGGGCCTCCGAGGGCCTCACCTCCTACCCAAGGGAGGCCGGCCGGCTGTGCGGAGCAGGCCAGGGGAGCTGGWGGCCTGGTTCCAGCTCTGTTGCTCCCATCTGCCCCCTCCGCCGCCTCTCCTCCCCTCTGTGCTGACTCTGAAGGGCCGGGTCCACTAGCCCTGCCCAGTGCCCCTCTGGCTGTCTTATTAAGGAATGCTTCCTATTCCTGACTCTCCATGGACTCAGGCTGCAGGTGAGCAGACGCTGTGATTTCCGTCAGCGAATCAAGAGCTTCAGGGGTCCTGGGAGAGCATTCGAGAGAGGCTTCATGAACTAAGAGGCTGTTCTGGAGGGAACCCTTTAATTTGATAGTTAATAAAGTGGAGGCTCAGAGAGGTTAAGTTATTTGCTGAAGGATGCACAGAGAGCTAAGGTGAGCAGGCCTGGGGGCCCATACCTTTCAAGTTCCACCCAGGCTGAAATTATGTGGGACAGTAACAGTCCCTGCCCATTAGTGAGCCAAACTTCTGATGACCTMAGGGGTATGACCCCTGGATTAAGCACAGCCTTGCACTGCTCTTTAGATTTGTGATCTGGTTCACAGTTATTTCCAGCATCCMAAATTCACATGTGTGGACTTTCCCCTTCGTCCTCAGTGCAGCCATGTGGCCAGCAGAGGGCGCTGGTGGCTAGGTTCCCAGATGACATAATAAATGAGCCCTCCTAAGAGTTTCTGCAATGACAGGGCAATCAGGGCTCATTTGGAGAAGAAAAGATTGAGCTTTCTTTATCCAAATCACCCGACCTGCTAAAAAGGATGTATAATACATAAGGATCCAGAGTGATTAAAATCCTTATGAATTTAATCAGAAATTCACAGTTAACCACTATTTGCTTTGGTGCAAATTGATGTGGAATAACAATCATGTGTTTCTGCAATTTTTTTTTAACTTGTGGGAAATTTGCTGGTGATTTGCGGGGGGGGGGGGAAGCATGGGGGAGGGGGCCATTGAAAGRAGAGAAAAGAAGGAAGGAAGCAATCGAAGGGGGCTCCCCGGAGGCCCTCGGTGCCTTAGCTGGCTGTTGACGGCCTTTGTTCGTGAATTTCAGGCCTTTTGTTATTTATTATCATGAACAATAGGAAATCCTAATAATAACCCCTGTGTGTGCCATTGGCTGCCTCGGAGCCGAGTTCTCTAAATTGTTTCTTCCCTCTGGACCCATGTTTGGGTTGGAAATCCCCTCCCCCTTCTTCCACATTTTCTTCTGAATCATGCCTCAGGATCCCACCTCAGGATCCGACCCTGGACCCTCCCACAGGCAGACCAGCTCCTAGGGCAGAGACAGACCATGCACCCCACTGCCTCTCTCCCTTTACAAGGCAAGGTTTTCTGGAAAAGTGGAGGTGGGACCCCCATAGGGGCCCTTGGAGGAAGGCAAGGTCAGAGCAGGGAACATGGAGAAGTCCTCACCATCTTTTCATTGTTGGGAACTTTCTTGTAGAAGGTTTTCTCTGTGTCTTCGATCCAAACCACGGATGGCTGGAGTTGCCTGGCCACCTGCAGAGGACAGAGAAAAGCCCTGGAGGTGAGAGCCTCCCCTCTCGGGGTGCGTGGGGTCTCCCTGCCAATGGCGGAGCTTGAGGCCCTGGAGAGTGGGGTCGCTGGGCCGGGCGCCCTGGGGTGAGCTYACCGGCACTCCGTTGCATGCCATGTTCACATGCCTGCTGCAGGGTGCAGGCGCCGGCCTCCCTGCACCCTGGCAGCTGTCCTGATGGAGACGCTGCCCAGGACCCCGAGCCTCCTCTCCATTCGGTTTGCAATAAACCCATGACTCTCAGCTGAAGTCGATGGCAACCGGCCGTGAGTCTGGATTCCGGCCCACTCGCCACCCCATTTTCATTCAATCCGGCCTGCCAGGAGAAAACCCGCGCAGCACCAGGGCCCGTCAAGCTCCCCGTATCTGCATCCGGCTGCGCCTTTGTGGCCACAGTCTCCCTGGAAGGCAGCTCCGAGTCCCTCCAGGCCGCGCAGGGCTTTGCAGTGGAGCTGGGGCCGGACTGACCTGTGGCCCGTGAATAACTGCACACACCTAACAATCTCTTCAAACGCCCCCACGAGTKCGGAGCTCGGGTATTTTTGCAACAATTTGTGCTTTGTGTGAAATCGCGACAGATAAAAGCTGTTTCATCCACAGCGAGCACAGCGCGATGGCCTCCTATTTATATATTTCTTAAAACATCATTCGGCAACAGGGGCGATTCTGAACCAAGGCGGACGGCGGCTGTTTTCYGGGCACTGTGTACCAAGTCGGGATGGGAAGCAGATTATGCACCCTCTGGGACAGAGTGGACAGTGACTGAAAGGGACCCTTGTGCAGCATGCCACCTGGCTGGCTGCTCCACGGTACCCAGCATGCTGGACGGGCAGAGGGAAGGCACCGCTGGTCAGTGCTGGGGTGTGAGCCGGCGGACCCAGAGCCAACAGCTCAAGGAGTCAGAGTCTCCAACATTAATCCCAGTCCCCAAGGCGGTGTGGGTGGTGATCGTAGGGAGCCCTGGCAGTTGGTGATTGAGCAGGTGTGTGGTGGGCATTGGGCACACGTGCCGTAGCTGTCGGGGCCAGCATGCACCTGACACCGCCTCCTCCCCTGGGGACTTCAAGTGCAGGTGACATTGCTCATCTTTAGCTCAACCCCACAGAGTGCACGCTGTTGCCTTCACCCTGCTCACAGATGGGGACCCTGAGGCTCGAGGACCTTCTGAAGCCAGGGCTATGAAGTGGCAGAAGCAGGACTCAGAGCCAGACTGACGGGGCCCTGCCCACGGCCATCTCACCTGCACCCACCAGGAACTCGGGGCGGCCCCAGAGCACACTGCGGCTGAGCTAAGATGGAGATACCTCTCCCTGAGCCCCAAGCCCYGCTCTTTTCCTCCCTCCTACCCGTGGCCTGCTGAATTTGGGGTGGCCTGCCTTTGTGGGTGCTTTCTTTTTGGCTTGGACATTGAGAGTTTATTTTTGGCACCAGAGTCTGCAGAGGCACTGCCTCTCTCCTGGATTTATTGGTTAGAGAAAAGGCTACAGAAATTGGACGGGACTGCGGTGGAGACGGATTGGAACCATCTGTGTGCTGGCCCCTGCCGTGGCTCTCTCTCCAAATTCCAAGCGTGTGCCGTTGTGGCCACCCTCTGACAGGGTGCTGCGTGGCATGGTTTCCTAGTTGGGGATGGTGTTGCCTAGCAGCAGGTTCAAATTCTCAAGTGGATGCCTCCCCAGGCCACCTTGCCCTGGYGCTTTCATCAGTAAGATGGACACAATGCCCACTGCAGGATGAAGGGACTCCCTCCCCTTCCGGCTCCCTCATCTGTGATCTTTTATTTAATAAAATCAGCTCCCGGATATGTCAAAGCAACTTATTAAGCGATTCTCCAGCTTAAACATTCCAGGATTCTCCGAGGAAGGTCGTGCGTGAAATACAGATGAAGAGGCACCTCGGAGCTGGAAACCTAAGTCCTGGTCATGGTCCAGGCCTGAGAGGAACAGAGAGGAAACGGGGGCTGCCCACGGCCCTGGGAGGAGGGAGCTGGTCCACCTGGGTCACATCCAGGCTCCCAGCTCTCTGCCAGTGTGGCAAGGACACAAAGAGGCTCAGGGTGTGGGTTCTGCCYGAGCAGCATYGCCCCAGCTGGGAAGCCACCMAAGGACACCCAGTCGGAGGGCCACAGTGCCAGGGAGCGTGGGTGGCAGTCTGTGGTTGGTATTTGGAGAAAAGTGACGGCTGCACACAGGGACAGTKGTGGGCAGGAGCCAGGGCAGAGGCGACCAGGGCAGAGGTGCAGCCCCTTCCTCACCCCAGTAGTTCAGTGGCTCTCGTTAGGGTCACCAGGAACCCCTGGAACACGAAATCCTGTCCTAGCCCATCCAAAGAGCTGCCTCCTGCCAGKCCCTATGTGACCCTGCCTAAGCGCAGAGGTGGCTGTGTGCCCACTCAGCTCAGTTGGACCCCAGCTTCCTCCAACACAGGCTGCCCCCAGTCGGCCTCCCACTGGAGGTCAAAGCCTCCCTGCCTCCAGCCCCAGAAGTAAATAAGACAATCAGAGGCTCCACGTACAAGGTTTTATTAACCTTCTCAGAAAAAAGATGCATTGTAACAACAAAGGCAGAATCTTCTCTTGGTCCTTCTTAAACTCTCAGTACTACGTGAAACCACTGGAAAAACCGTCTTCACGTGAACAAGGGTCTCTTGTCCTAGGACTGTCCCTGCTTCATTCGTGTGCCCTGTCCTCTCAGTCTGGCTTTTCTCAATGGTATTTGCAGAGGTGAGTGCCCGCACTTCAGCGTGGCTTTTCTCTTTCAGCTCTTAGCAGAGCAGCTGCACGTGAACTTGGAGCGCAAGAGGCTGAAGCACTTGGGTCACCTTGGTACAGTGGTGGATTCCTTCCCTGCCCTCCACGCATGTCAGGGCACACAGGGACATCGGGGTGATGGGTTTGCAAGGGCTCMGCTGTTACCCACGGATTGGAAGACATTCCCAGGAGTGTCCCCGATGACGCTGATCCAGCCACGGTCATGGCAGAGTTCTTCACACCCAGGACACYGCTTCTGACCTCATTGGCCACCTGCCACATGCTGGGCCTAGAAGTCCCATGGCTTCTCCCCATTCCAGCTGGGGTCACTGGGCAGAGCATCGTGAGGGCTGAGTAACGTGCCCGACCAGCACCGGGGCAGTGCTGGGGCCYGAGGGGGACCCGGTCTGCCTGACCCCCGCGTCCACATTGCTGAGAAGYGTTCCACTGAGTTGCTGCCGTGGAGACAAGACGCTACTCCCAGAGCATCTGGACCCTTGACCTGTGTCCTCGCCATCCTTCACCCCAGCAGGAAGGCCACGGAGRCCTTCACTGTCCTGTCCTCGAGAGTGGGGGTCTCTGGTTTTCCTGTCCCCGCCCCCTGTCCCGGGGGAGCTGCATGGCGAGTGGCCACAGGATTCCTGCTGACCATGCCCAGTTCTGGGGAAGCACAGAAGACTGGGCAGCTGAGGGATGATCCACGGACAGAGGCTGCTGTCCTTGAGAAGGGAGACTCAGGGCCAATTGGATGTTGTCCAATAGTTAAAAACACTGCCCTGGGAAGAAAGACTGGCGGCACCACATCTGCCTGGACTGTGGAGTGAAGGCCACTCTTCCACGGGGAGCTGGAGGCCAGGCACTGTGTGAGGAGCTGGGGCACAGAGGTCAGTGATGGAGGCCGCTGGCCTCAAGGGGCCCTCGACTGCCTGGGAAGGTGGTGTCAGCAGGGGCCACCGGTGACAGAGAGGGAGCCTGGGGGAGGGAGCCTGGGGGAGGGAGCCTGGGGGAGGGAGCCAGGTCGGAGACTGCAGACAGACAGACCTTCAAGGTCACCAGAGGGCCACAGCCGTGCCTGGGCACTGGATGAGGTGTCCGGCGTGGGCTCGTGGGCTGCTTCTGGAGGAGGCRGCTGTGGCCCTGCCGTCGCTGCACCCACAGGCTGCGGAGACCTGGGGAGGCCTTGATCAGGAGTCTCCCCCCCCTCTGTTCCGGGAGATCCCCRCGGGGACTGTGAGAGGAGCTGGGGTGGTGGGTGGGTGCTGGGGACTCGTGGGCCTCCAGAGGGTGGGTCTGAAGGCAGGGACRTGAGCTGCCCGGGCTCCTGGGGGACAGCAGGGAGGCAGAGTGGACACCAGGGAGGCTCAGAATCTGCCGGATGTGGCAAGAAGTGGGTGCCTGGAGGAGGAGGAGGTGGGAGCGCAAAGGGACCAGTGGAGAGGGCCCGGGGGGCTGGGCAGGTGGGGAGCACTGGTGGGTCCAGGTGAGAGGAGCGGAAGGGTAGTGGGCCGGGGGGTGGGGAGCACATGGAAGGCTCTGGAGTTCGGACCAGGTCCTGGGAACCCCCAGGAAGCCTCTGGTCATGGCAGAGTGCTTCACACCTGGGACACAGCTCTGACCTCACTGGCCACCTGCCACATGCTGGGCCTGGAAGTCCCATGGCTTCTAGACCCAGGGGGAGCGTCTAGGCTGGGAGGGGGAACAAGGGGCACAGGAGAGAGAGCAGCCCTGGAGGCCAGGAGAGGACAGAGCGCAGGGCAGAGGTGCAGGTGGCAGTGGGCAGTGCCAGTGGCTGGGTAATGAGGAGGCCACTGATGTCCTTGGCGGGAGTGGAGGGGACAGGAGCCAGATGACAGGCTGCTGGGGACGACCAAAGAGCAGGGGGCATTCCTTCAGAAAGACGGGCAGAGCCATCCCGGGTGGTGGCCTGAGGGCCTTTCCAGGGACCCCGGTGAGTTCTGCTCCAGGCGCAGGGCAGGAAGGGTGTGGAGATGGCGCATCAGGGAGGAAGGTGGGAAAGGGCGACCTCCGACTGAGGGACGGGTGCCGGTCCTCCCGGCACTGAGGCCTGGAGGGAGGGACGCAGGGCACGTGGGCAGATGTGTGGGACAGATGTGGGGCTGGGGAGGCCTTTCCTTACTGGTGGCGCCAAGGCAGCGTCCTCCAGGGCCMGCAGCCGCCTTCAGCGGTGCCTCTCTGATGTCCTGGGCTCCTCTG